CTGGGGATGGGGAGGGGCAAGAGAGAGGAGGGAGAAGCGGAGGAAGGGCGGAGGCTCTAGGCCTCCCAGATGGGGTCGGAGGATTGCGCCGCATCGCCGACGCGGCTCGATGCGAAGCCCCATTCTCTCCACGCCGACGGCGCCGATGCATCGCCGACGTTGCCGATGCATCGGCGATGCGGCGCGATCCTCCGACCCCATCTACTCCGACCCAATCTGGGAGGCCTCTAGAATTGAGTGTGTGTATGTGAGTGTGTTTTGGAGGCGAAGTAGCCTCAAAAGCTACACTCGAAAAGCTCGAATAGCACTTCGATTCAACTCTGATCCACCTCTGGCCCGGAACGCGGTTCCATCTCTGATTTTTTTTGAAACTCTGCTTTAACTCTGGTCTGAGACCCTGATGTAACTCGGCTTCTAGAGGCTAGAGTCGGGCCGGACGAAAGGGGGGGATTGGGAAAGGGGGGGTTATACGAAATTTGCTGCGTGCAGCTGGTTTTGGCCTCACCGAGGGGCCCATTCCTCGATATATGGCCGCCTCCGGCGCCGGGAGGCGCCGGGAAAATCAGCTGCGTGAGCCGATGCTCAAACCCCCCCTTTGCTATCCCCCCTTTCGCCCGACGATCCTATAGAGGCGGAGGAGGAGGAGGAGGAGGAGGAGGAGGAGGAGGAGGAGGGAGGACGAGGAGGAGGAGGAGGAGGAGGAGGAGGAGGAGGGAGGAGGAGGAGGAGGAGGGAGGAGGAGGAGGAGGCGGAGGAGGGGCGGCGGTGGGCCCCTGGAGCGGGCCGTGGGCGCTGCGCGCGCGCCCTCGGTCGCCCCGCGTGCACGGGGCGGCCCGTCGAGGCTCATCGCGCCCCGGCGCCGCCTCCGCCGCCGCCGCCGCCGCCGCCGCCGACGACGACGACGACGACGACGACGCCGCCGCCGCCGACGACGACGACGACGTCGACGTCGACGCCGACGCCGACGACGACGATTAAAAGCCTGCCTCCGGGCGACTGGCACCTGCGCGGGCCCAGAGGTGGAGCTCGACAAGGCCATACCCTTCCTGAAGGAGGCGGAGGCCGCGTGCAACTCCATCACCAAGAAGGACCCCCTGCCAGAGGAAAGAGAGAGCTACGAAGACACACACACACACACCGATTTTGGACAAGGCCCCTCCCGAGCCCAGGATCGGTGCATACGCCCTCCTACCCCGGCCAGGAGGGCATGTGCACCGATCCTGGGTCAAGGATGGGCCAGGCCAAGAGCGGTGCATGTGCATCGTTCTCTTCGCCCGACCTGCGGCGCCGCCGTGTCGGCGCGTCGGGGGTCCAACAGGCCGCCCAGGCGGGGTCGGAGCAGGTGGGGTCGGAGGATCGCGCCGCATCGCCGATGCATCGCCGATGCATCACCGAGGCGGCGCGATCCTCCGACCCCACCTGTTGGAAATTGGATCATATACAATGCCAGCGGCGGGCTGTTTTTCAATCCCAGGACTCTTTGAGGGTCGGGGACGACGTCGGGGTGGTGTGGTGTATGCTTTCACCCCGTGTTCCAAGGGAAACAGCGAAACATGCATACACCAGGATCCCGTGTACACCAGAACCCGCGTGCCTGTGCGAATGTCCGCGCAGGGTCGGGAAAAGCGTCGGTGTATAGAGCTCGTTTCCCTAATCTTATGTCGGGCGTGTCCCCCTACAGGGGCCTTTTCGACGAAAAATAAAAATACCCCCAAAATGCCCCAGAAAGGCAAACAAAAAATTAAAAAATAGTCCCCAGGCTATTTTTGGACTATTTTTTTGTTATTTTCATTGTATTTTTTAATTTTCGTCGAAAACCCCCCCTAATCTGCTCCGACCCCACCTGGGAAGCCTCGAGCCCCCGCGCCGCCGCCACGTCGGCGCGTAATTAGTTGGTCCGACGTGCCGCCCTGCCGGGAGCTGTCTCTGCGCGCTCAGGCGTACCCCGCCGGCGGGGACCCGCGGGGGGGGGCAGGGAGAAGTTCGGGCCGGACGAAGGGGGAAGATAGGGGAAGGGGGGGGGATGTACGAACTTAACTACAGATAGCTGGTTTCGGCCCCATCGATGGGCCCACTCCTCGATACATGGCCGCCTCCGGCGCCGGGAGGCGCCGGGAAAATCAGCTGATTCTCAAACCCCCCTTTTGATATCCCCCCCTTCCGCTCAGCCCGAGAAGTGTGGGTCCTGGCGTGATGCAGTCGCACGTGACTCCTGTGCTCCCCGGCGTAGCTGCGTGAATGCGGCGGCGAGCCACTGTCTCTTCCAAGGTGAGGGGCTGCTAAAACGACGCGAAGATCGGGACAAAATCGGATCGGGATAACTCAAAATCTCTGAGAATCGGCGGGTTTGGAGGATGTATTGGGCGCCGCGGCCGCTCCAGAGCGTTCCGGAACGCTCTGAGAGCGCTCCAGAACGTTCTGGAGCGATTTATCCCGATCTTAGCCATGTTTTAGAGCCATTGTCTCTTCCAAGGTGAGGGGCTGCGTGTCCCATTCGCCCGCCCTCGAAGAGGACCGCCCTTGGGGTCCAGAGTGCGGCCCTGTCTGTCTTTCTGTGGGATGCACGGTGCTGTAGGGACCCGGGCGCTTTGTGCCAGGGCTCGACCTACACGATGTTGGGGCGATGTCGTGCCCCTTTTTGTTCCCATGCCGTTTGGAAGCCAAGGCGGGGCGAAGACAACACGAGGGAGAACACGAAATCAGCGAGCGAAGAACGGTATAAAATAAACTTTTTCGCTGTCGGGAGCGCCTGTCCCTGGGCGGCTGGAAAGTTTATACCCCTACGGTGCCACCGTAAGGGTAAAACTTTCCAGCCGCCCTGGGACAGGCGCCCCCGACAGCGAAAAAGTTGATGTCATACCGTTCTTCGCCCGTAAACGAAAGCAGAACGAGAGCAGGAAGTACCGTGCAGGTCGTCGAGTCCTGCTTCTTCGTGCCCCCCCCCCCCGAACCAGATCGGCCCGTGGAGGCGCAGTTGATGTTAAGTCGGGCGCGTCCCCCACGCAGGGGGATTCTCGACGAAAAATGAGAAATACCCCAAGAATAGCCAAACAATAGTCCAAAAATACTCTGGGGACATTTTTTTTTTTGTTTTTTGTTTTTTTCTACCTTATGGGGGCATTCTGGGGGGCATTCTTTGTCTCTCGTCGAAAATCTTCAAAAATACACAAAGAATAGCCCAAAAATAGCTAAACAATAGTCCAAAAATAGTCTGGGGACCATTTTTTGAATATTTGTTGACCTTTTTGGGGCTTTTTTGGGGGTATGTTTTATCTCTCGTCGAAAAAATCCCCCTGTAGGGGGACAGGCCCAGCCCAAAAAGTGAGTGGCACGGCGGGCCGCGGGCAGGCGCGCGAGGGGGCCGGGCCTCTCCTGCCAGGGACAGCAAAGATCAGGAGGGAGAGAAACACACAGACACAATGAATCGGCGATTCCCCAGAAGATATGGGAAAATAGGGGAAGTGGGGGGGAAGACAAAAACCCAGAAACTATGGGAACATATGGGGAATATGTTTATTTGTGTGTATTTATTTGTGTGTCCCAGGAGGGGACGAGGAGGAGGAGGAGGAGGAGGAGGAGGAGGAGGAGGGGGAGGGGGAGGAGGAGGAGGGGGAGGAGGAGGAGGAGGAGGAGGAGGAGGAGCAGAAGGAGGAAGAAAAGGAGGAGGAGGAGGGCCCCTTCAGAATGACTTGTGGGTCGGCAGCGAGGGCGCAGGCCGACTGCGCTCGGAGGCAGAGTCGGGCCGAGCTCCGAGGCCGAGGTCGCTTCGGAGAGGGTTCGGAGGTGGACCGGCCTCGATACGCCTCGATACGCCTCGATACGCCTCGATACGCTTCGATACGCCTCGATACGCCTCGATACGCCTCGATACGCCTCGATACGCCGCCGCCCGCGGGAGGCGCCGCGCGCTTTTTTTGTTTTGTTTTACGTCGGGCCTGTCCCCCTGCAGGGGGATCTTCGACTCGGGGGTGGACAGGCCTCCTACCCCGACACGTCGATGGAGGAATTGGCCGTTTGCGGTTCGCGAGAGGGCGTCGCGGCCGTCATTTTCGCGGGTCCAGGTCCGTCGGTCTTAGGTCTTAGGCCGTTTTCACTGAGGGAAGGTTTACTAAAGGGAGGCTTGTCCACCGCCGAAGGGTGTGCCCCAAGGTTCTTCGTGCTTGTCGGAGGTTCTTGTACATCCCGGGGGAGGGGAGCCTCGAATGCTCCTCCCTGTGGCCCGCGAGGGGCCCCATGTCCTTGCAGGATGTCCTGCTGTCCCAGGCCCGATGAGCCAGAAGGATGCTCGGGGAGGAGTTTGCGGAGCTTTCCTCGCAATCTCCTGTTGGCACGCACTGTTCGGCACCGCCTGCACCCCGCGCCCTCCGGCCGCCTGCGGCCCCGCCCGCCCGCGCCCTGTCTCCCCAATTAGTGCTTTGCGCTCCCCGCCTAGCTCTTGACCGGAAGAGGCCCGCTCTCGACCCGCAGACCAAACAATTGTTGGCACGCACTGCTTCCCGTGCTTCGCCGCAGCCTGGGCGCCTCGGCCCCTCCCTGCGGCAGCCTCGCGGTGCGTGCACGCACTGCTTCCCACAAGAAACCTTCCACAAGAAACCCAATCCTGAGACCCCAGGATGTCCATTGATGTTTTGTACGGGGACCCAAGAAACCCATGGCACCCTGGAGGCAAGCAGGGTGTTAATTGGCATGGGCTTCCACTGTATCAGCGGCCTCGCGGGCTGGGCCCCTGGGCCACATGCTTCGCCGCCACCTGGGCGCCTCGGCCCCTCCCTGCGGCACCCTCGCGGTGCGTCCTCGCAGGCTGCAGCCCGCGCAGCTCCCAGGCCCGACCGGAGCCACCAGCGGGGCCGCGCCGGAGCTGGCGGCGCACACAGCCACAGCCGGGGGGAGCGCGGGGCGGCCGCGGAGGAGCGCGGGAGGCGGACTCGGGCGCAGAGAGGCGCCACGCCAGAGGAGGAGGAGGAGGAGGGAGGAGGAGGATGAGGAGGAGGAGGAGGAGG